CTACTCCTTAGAGAAGCTAATGCTAAACTCCCACTGATATTCTTGGAGTAGAATTATTCCAGAGGTGGTGAGAATACCCAGTGGCTAAGCTTGCAGAATGAGAAAAACGTTCTGAAAAGCAAAGATGGATTGAATGTGTGAGATATCCAAGTGCTGTGGTAGGAATCTGTTCAGATATTACTGTGAGCACAAATGGAAGTGCTTGTCAAAGGAAGTACAAAGTTGGCTGCTAATGTAGTTCCAGGGGTTTCTGTGTGCTATTTTTAGGCTGGCATTAAGTGAAACACAGTAGATGTCCCTGCTGACCTTTTCTGTGAATTTGGTTTACTCAGGGGCTCTCTGGTTTTGGCAGCACTCTGAATTTTTTGGAAGTCAGTAGTATTTAGTGCAAGGGGTCAGATGTAAGAAATGGAGCAGCTTCAGAATGAGTGTGTACCTGGCCTGAGCTCCCCTCCTGACACACCTTGGAACTGTGCAAGGGCTGCAGTCACTGATCCTTTGTGGAAACTGAATTTCACTGGATCAGATTTAAAAATGTGTTGGGCATCCCTCAGCAGCCTCTCATTGTCTCCTCTGATTTTGGTGCAGAGAAGGTTTGGAAGACTGTCCAGGTGTGTATTAAGGCCACAGCTTTTATTTAATTCTTTCAAGCCATACTTTGTATTATGTAGAGTTCTCTTAGTATTAGGAGATCTTGGAAGGATTGTAAATAAATGATCCATTTATGTCACTGCAGATTAACTCAGCAGATTGCCATCTGTAACTTGAACTGTTCTTAATAATTATTTCAAAGAAATAGCAAATAATGAATTGTTGAAGCTCAAATAATCTGATTTTGTAGTTGCCTGTCTGCCCTGGATGTCAAGATACTCCCAAAGCCTCTGAGAATCAAACCAAACTATCTGCTTAGTTAGAGTCACAGTAAAAATACACAGTACATGTATCTCAGTGGTTCTTCCAGTAAATTGTTAAATATGGGAAAATATTAAGTAAATTTTTAAAAGGCAGAAAATTGTAAATTGTGGTGAGTGAGGGTATGGGTGATTATCATCACTGGAATGTAGGTCCTGGTTCCCTGCTTGCTGGTGGCTGCAGTAGTGGAGTTCAGGAGGAGGATGTATGTTTTATCCTTTCTGGCAGGCAGCCCTGCAAACTGTATTCAAGATCTGAAAGTTAAGCTGTTTTATTTCTGGCTTGTGCATCATCAACAGTAATAAAAACATGACAGACCAGAATTTTGACCTTCTTTCTCTCTGGGAAATGAACATGTTTCTGAAGGCAGGCTGTGGTCATGCAGTAGAAAACAGGTTTTTTGTTGATGATCCTAAAGCAGAATAGATGCTGTGTTCTAGTACATCATTCTTATCTTTGTATAGAAAAATAAATAGCAGTAAATGAAAACGTTAGCAATAAATGTACTTCACATTCTATAGAAGAAACTGAGTAGAGTTTTATAATTTAGTATTCAATCCATTACAAGAATTAGGAGGTGTCAGAGGAAGACAACAAATGCCAAGTTAACCTTCCCAAAACACACTTTGAAATAACACAAGGTGGTTTTTCATACAGTGCAGGCACAGGTATCTAACTGTGAGAGGTGCTTGTGAGTACCAGTGCATTTTAATGACAATGGTTACAAGAATTTATGTCTAAATTTCTGTAAATCTGATGTTTCATCTTGTTAAATGTAACTTCCACAGAGTGCTGTGGTTGTGGAAGTTGAATCACTGGGGTGTGTTTGGTGTCCTGGAGTTCAGCTGTGGGTCCTGAAGGTGATTCTGGAGTTTGGTTGATGCAGAGCAGTTCCTCCACACTGGTCACAGGAAGCAGTAGGAAACACTTGGTTGTGTTTCAGGAGCATTTTTGTGGATGCAGTTTGCAGGGATGAATGGCTCAGTCTGGTGTGAGAGAGAGAACAGGTTTCCTGCTGTCCAGAGCCTTGGACACTGAGCACCTGGCTCATGGTGAGATTTTGGATTTTGTGCTGGCTGGGAAGGCCCAGGGAAGGACACACAGTCACACCTGCCAAGGTACCTGGCTGGGGCTGTGATCAGCACCACCATCATCCATCAGCACATGGGAACCTCCCAGCACATCCCCTTTACCTCCTCATGTCTTTGTTCACTTTAAAGGAAGCAGTTGATGGTTTGGGAGGGATGGTTAGGTTCCTAGATAAATATCACAACTCTCCTTTTGTCTTCTCAAAAATTATCTTCCTGGAATTAATTGTTCTTAATTAAATTGGCATCAAATATTCTGACATATTCCTAGTTACCTTCGGTGTCGTATTTGCTGTGAAATAAACTTTGGTTTTGCTGTCATCACGACTTTTCAAAAAGTTTAGAAATGATATTCAGATTTCAGATGCCTTCTTATTGTGTAATTATCAACAGATTACTTCACCTAAGTCCTGACAGACATATTTTTTAAGTATGACTGACTGATGGACAGATTGGGAATTGCTGAATTAATGGGCACATTTCAAAGCCTTGGCAGGGCTAAGCAGTAATTACATCTGCTGAACCACTTGATAAGTTTTTGGAAGTAGCCCAGTAAAGCCATCACTGGATTTCTTGAGTTTTAATATCTTACCCTGCACACTTCCATGGCTTTCTTGTAGGGTACACTCCAAAAGTTGATACAGCCAAATAGACACAGCCAGACAAATCCATGGATTAAAGCTTTAAATGCATTTCAGATCTGCCATTTTGATTTTCAGATGGGTGTAGTGATTTTGGAGGCTGATTAAAATCTTGTTCCCATTTTTAAAGTTAAGAATTTCATTTAGGAGTAATAAGGGACCACAGAAAGTGCCCACACTTGTGTGGCCTCTGTAAATAACATTATCTACTGCCAATACAAGGGGCAGAATTTGGGGTTAGATGGGTCATAATCCTGACCCAGAGCAGTTTTATGGTTTTCTGACAGGAAAGGGACACTTGACCAGGAATGAGACCTGGGTGGTCTCTTCCTGACCTTCCTGCAGTGAGATTCTCAGTTTGTCAAATCTGACAAAAATTGTTTTCAACCTTATCTTGTCTTCCTGGGACACTCAAAGGTTGATACCACGAAAATGTTGAAAGTTGTAGGCTGAAATGTTTTTGCAGAAGATATTTTGTGCAGCCAAAAAAGTGACCATTTTTCCCAATATCAGGGTGAGTTTAGGATATTGGTAAAATAGTCTGGAACACCTGAAAACACAGGGATTAGGAGTGCTGGCAAACAGGCCTGTGTTTTTTTGGGAGTTCTCTATAATCCGAAAATTTTCAAATGCCTGTATGTGCTAGACATTCACAAGAAGTTAGAGGTGAGAAATAATTTGGAATTACCAGTGGTCAAATACCAATGCACTGAATACTTTTTTCTCTGCAGCTGTTGTTACACTTAATATGCCCAAAAGGATGAAAAATGTGTTTAAAAATAATTTGAGAATAAAATTGGCCACTGAAGATGGTATTGCTTTTTACAATTGGAGTTCAATTTTTCAGGAATGTATCACAAGGAAGAGTAAAATGACAGACATAGATTGAAACAGTGTGGTTGTGGAATTCGAAGGTAGCTCTGACAGAGAGGATTTCATTTAGCTCAACCAGACAGATTTAAGGCTGATAAAATGAATTTGAAACCAAATGAAAAGAAACTGTCACCGAATTGAACTGTGATTACTTTGTGGAGATCTTTCAATACCTAAAACCAAGACACTGATTTAATCATTACAGATATGTCTTCACCAAAAAAAAAAAAAAAACCCCAAACAAACGAACAACAGGTTTTGAGGTTTTGTTCTGAAGAACAGAAATGCACAGAGAGGCTTTTTGCTAGAAAACTTCTGGCTTTAAGAGTTGCCTTTTAAAATTCCTGTAGTTAATGATGGGTGAACAGCAGCATTTTCAGAAAAAAGTAAACTGAGCTTATAGCTTACATTTCCTTCAAATAAATAAAAGAAACTGAAAGAGAGGCACTTGGCTTACAGACCTGGATGTGATGGTAAATCACCTTCCAGTGGGGCTGTGGGGTCCATCACTGACAGCAGCTGAATGTATTGCTTGGGCTGATTTTCCCCTGTTTGGTCATGGTACCTTGTGATTTAACTCCTAAATTCACCTGATTTCTGCTTAGTTCGACATCAGTGCAATTCATGCACTGCTAAATAACTTCTCTGCAATAACCCGTTCAGACTGGTGAACACCAGACTTCATTTATTACACCATAAATAACCCAGATCCACCTGTGTGTGTGCCCTGTGTGTCTCCCTGCCCTCTGCAGACACTCTGGCCTTTTTTAACCCATTGGTGCTTTTGGCTGCCCCTCTGAAAGCAGAGTTTGCTCCACACTTCTGGGTGCTCCCAGGCTTCTCTTCTCCCCCTTTTCTCTGGCTGTGCTCAGGAACCCACGAGTTCTGCACCTGCTGGGCATCAGCAGCTCTGGGGCTGCAGCTCCTTCCTCTCTTCCCTTTCCCCATGCCCAGTGCAGCCTGTTCTGGGACAAGATCGACCAGAATGCAGACAAGACAAGGAAAATTCACCTTTCTGTCCTCCACTGTCCTCTGTTGGAGGCAAGGTGGTGTGGGTAGTGGGTAAGAGTGTCAAATGTAAAGCTTTTGGTACTGTGTATAAATGATGTATTGGCATTTTGACAAATAATTTCTGGGTGCTCTAATAATATCCCTATGACACTCATGTATCGAGTTACTCATATTTTAAAATGAAATATTCCTTCTATAAAAGAAAAAAAGGTTATATTTCCCTTCATATAAAAGAGGTAGGTCCCATTGCTGTTTCCTGTTGTCTCTTTTCTTAGGAGTGTATGTTTCTTTTTGCCATATATTTTTCCCCTTATGTTTTATATACCTAAAGTAAATTACTTAAAATAAATCTCTGTATATACTATAAGCTTATCATACAAAAGACAGGGTTAAAAGTTTAAAAAAACCCATAAAATAAAGATGTGACACCTTTGCCTTATGATGGCACCCGTTTGGACAAAAAATGGTGATGAACAGAAATCTGAAAAATTGTAGTTAAACATGAATTTGAAGCATTAAGAAGGACTCAGCTTTTATGGGTGTATTCACTTCTAACTGTTATGGCAACAAAGAATTTCAAAATGCACATTGGTATGTTGCATGTCAGGTATGTATTTGCTGATCAAACATGCTGACAACTGTGTTACCAAATAAGAAAATTGTATGTAAAATAAACACCTTCTTGAAACGTTGCGTGGCATTTAAAGGACTGAGTGTATCAGCACAGGTTTGTATGTCACATACTTGGTTTTTACTGTGAGTCTGCTTCTGGCTTGCTATAAATTTGTATGTAATCTTTTTCTCACCCTATGGGCATAGATACCCCAGGGAAAATGCAAATTTTCTTTTAAAATGGCTATTTTTTAGCTGTGCAGAGGGACTGTGGGCAGGATGAATCAAAGGTGTCTGTGGTGTAGGGCACAGGACTGAGACCATGAGCCCTGACTCATTTCCAGGTCAGTTTCCTCACTGGTGTAACAGGAATTCCTAATTCTGCCCCTCAGCTTTCCCACCTGCAGCTGATCACTCTGCCCTTATAAAAACACTTCACACCTGAGCAGTTCTAGGTAAGAACTGTTCTAATTATTATTTCATTTTTAAGAGACTTCCTATTACATAGGAAATGCAGTCCAGATGGAGAGATGGAGCTGTTATCTGTGGGATAATGCAGGATAAGGATGCATTTCATTTAACATCCACTTTTATTATACATTGTACACTCAGCTGTATTTTTTTTCTTTCTCTAAGGAGAAGTGATAGGGAACATAAGAATACAGGAATGGTCTGTAGAGATAAGTATATTGCAATTTATTCCTGTGTTGCTGGCACTGAATACTGGAGCAGATTTACAAGTGGAATTTGCAGAGGGGAAAAAGTTATTATTGTCCCCATCTGTAAGGAGAACTGGTGCAGTGATTTGGACTGTGTGACATAATTTAAATTCGGTTTCCCCTTCCATTGCAGATTCCTTAGGTTGCTTTTCTTCACAGGGCAGTTCTCCATGTGTAAGTTGGGAATAATGGAGTTTTCCTCCAGAATGTGCAGTGGTTGTAGAGCTGGACTCAGAGAATTGCTGGGGCTCTGCTACTGCAGCCTCTGGAAGGCAGGAGAAACTTCCAGAATAAACTAAATAACCTGAGTTTAGACCATCTCTGCCTAGGGCTGGAACTGCCTGGGGCAGAGGAGCAAAGGGAGAGGGAAACTTTCAGATGAGAACTCAGTTTTTTCTCTTCACTCAGAAATCCCAACAAACTACCTTTGGCCCAGATTTTCGTGGCCAGTGCCCTGATACATTAAATTACAGCTACAAAATGTGTTCCTAAGCAGAAAATTAATGGAAAAGTATGTGTATTTTTTGAGGAAGAATAGAGTGTGAATGTTGTATTTGTTGAAAGTGTACGGATAAAATTAAAACTCACTTGTTAAAATCAAATGCTTGACATTTCCTCCAAAAATCCTTCATAAATCACACATTTAACTTCTAAAACACAACAAGTAATACCAGCCTGGATTCACAATAGTCAAAGTGAACAACTTCCACACTAAATAGCAGTCAAATGTTATTTGAAAGAGCTGATACACAGTATATTAAATAACAAAGATGCTGACACAGCCTCAACTGTAGTAGTTCTAATTACTGCACTATGCCATGCTACATTATATCACATGGCATAATTCAGTGTATCTTTCTTTGTCAGTGTATTACTCATCATTTTACAAATTACAACTCTTTGATAGGAAGGTAATTCATACTTGGACATAGTGCTAAAATGATGGAGTGTTTTCCTTTTTTCTCAATCACTGATCTTTCAAACTTTTGCATTTAGTAGTATTAATCATGTTTATTAGCCAAGTGTTGTCATAAAGAATGGAATTTCTCTGTTACTTTCATATTCAATTAAAATAGTTTTTTGTTTGCTGCCTCTATCTGCTGCACTCCAGTAATCTGTTTACTTATTCTAATTTAGGTTCTTGTTCATAAATTCAAAACAAAATCAATACTACAGTTACATGTTTTTCTAACAATCTGTAATCTAAGTGGCAGTGTGGGGAGAGTACATGAAAGGGGAGTGATCTTAAATTACCTTTTAACTCTAGAAATGTCCAGTCTAACTTTTTGTAGGTGTTCTGTTTTGTGGACCAGATGCATTTTGGAATTCACTGACATGTTCTACTTAACGTGCTGTTTAGAAGGAATTTGTTATTCAAGTGTGCAATACTGAAAAAAGTGCAGTCTGTAAAATGCTGCAGAAGAGCAGACAGAGATTGGAGACACTGAGTGCTCAGTTTTCTAGACTTTGTGTTGGTTGTAGACAGTAATTACTATGCATAATAGATACCTGGAGTCCTAAGTTGAAATTCCTGAATATTGATGATTTCCAAGCACAGCCTTTGCCTGGTTCATTTAACCTACAAAGTGAATTTTTTCACGTGGGGCATCCCCAGGGTCAGGCCCAGCAGTGGAGGGGGAGCTGCTGAAGCTCAGAGATAGCCAAGCTCAAGGATGAGCTGTAATGAGCTCTGGAGGGGTGGATTCCAGCTGGAATGTGACACTGGAGGGAGGGAATGGCCAAGTGCCTCCAGGATTGGCAGTGCACAGACCTGATGAGCACAGGGGTGCACTCAGATGTGTCTGGCAGGGACTGGTGGCCTCGTGTCCTGTGATGGCAGGAGATGGTGACTCAGCCTCTCAGATATTCCCATTCTAATAATTCACCTAATCATGACTGATCATTTCATCCTCAGACATTTAGCTGTTCCTGTTTCCACAAACCAGTGTCTTGAAAGTAGGTGATGCTGGAAGTGTCTAAAAATATTTTTTTTGCCCGAAACTTATTTAATAATTTATTTTTTGAAAAATTCAGGTGCAGGTTCCAGGTGCTGTGCCTGTGCCAGGCGCTCAGCTGTGCTGAGGAGCATCGGCTCATTGCTAACCAAGCAAAATATCTGTGAATGTGAAAGGGATATGCCACTCATGGCTTGCCTTGCCCTGTTTTGCAGGTGGGAGTGAATCCTCGTGGGACAAAGAGAAGCTCCAGTCTCCCATCACGACGGGATCCCAGCACAGCCTTGGTCACCCCACGCTGTCGGGGCAGTCGAGCCTTGGGAGCGCGCACCCGCTCAGCCCTCTGCAGCAGAACCACCTGCTCACCAACAGTATGTCCCGGGATCCTGCTGGGAAAAAAAGAGTGCCTGGAGCCCTGCAGGGAGCTGGGCTTGCCTTCCTTCCCAGCCTCAGGGAGGGGGGAAGTGATGGGAGGCACCTGAGTGACAGGAGGGTCAGTCCTTCCAGTGCCAGCTGCACTTGTGCCTCATGTCCAAGCCACCATCAGTCCGGGTCCAAGTGCCTGTTCCCTCTTGGAAAAGTCACTCTTTAATGGGTTTGGGACTACCAGTCTTTAACTGATATTTCCATGGCTTGGAATGAAAGGAAAAATAATCATAAAGTTGCTTAAAATTTTAGCTATGTGAGAAAATTCTCTTCCAGATGGAAATGCTGACCCGCCAAATAGAATAGGAGAGCAAGGAATGAATGTAAAATGTCCAGTTAGAAGGGGATCCACCAATCCCAGCTATCCAAAACAACTGGAATAAAATGACACAGGTTGGATTTGGAACCTAGAGCTCCCTACAAAGCTGTCTCTTTTCTTTCCCTTAGGAAGGGAGCAGGTGGATGCCATCAGTTCCACTTCTTTGCACCCAAAGAGGAAATGAAGGGAAGGAAAAAGTATTCCAAGAAAGATGTTTGGGATTAACATTTTAAAAACTAGTGAGGAGTAAAGTTATTCCTATAGTTGATGATGGATGAAGAATGAAAAGCCCATTATTCATAAACTCTTGTTTCTTGTTTAAGCTCTTCATCCTCCAAGTTCTGAAAGTTGATTTTTGGTGTTGGTTTTAGTGGATGAGTGACACTTCTGGCTCCTTACACAATTTTTGGAGAGTCAGTTCATTGCTACCTCTGTCAGGCCCCAGACAGGAGCAAATCAGAGCTATTGAAATGACTCCTACAAAATGAGTCTGCTTTGTTCGTGGGAAGGTGTGGACCTGAGCATTTTGGATTAAGTGTCAGTAGTTAAAAAATCACCAGGTCATTGGACTCAGATTCTCTGTCATTTGTCCTTTAATTTTATATTCTTGCTTAATTCAATACCTGGATTTCTTTTACACACAGCCATACTTTGTTCTTTGCTCTTAAGGATATTTTCCAGTGGATTTTGTAGTAGGTGAATGTCTATGGGCTGTTAAAGGGTTTACTGGATGTCAGACATTATGCCCAGTGATTTGCAAGTGCAGGATATATTTTCCTCATAGTCCTCTGAAATGTTTGACGGATTGTGTCTTAAAACTGGTGATGTGCTGTTAAATTCTGTTTGTAGTTTGCATTTAGTTTGCATGTCAATTGGACTTTAAGTAGACATACAACTCAATGTGGCCAGATGGTGTCTGGGAGTTTTGGAACTCTATAGAGGATGAGGAAAGATTATTGGGCTGTTAAGGGAGATCTGCAGGGGAACAAAGGCTCGTGGATGCAGGCACTGGAGGGGATTGTCAGTGTGGTTTGAAGTGGAGGGAGATGTATGTGGGCCTTGCTTATTGCCTATCATAATTAATATTGGCATGGATCATCATATAAAATAGAGAGTGAGTCATTAGACATCACAGTTGTTGATCATGATATGCTCATGTTAAACAGGAATAGTGTGGGAGCTGGGAATATTGCAATTCTGCAGTTTCCTGGTGGGCACCATGGTGTTTTTATATCACTGGAGTCAAATTCTGTAGGAATAAAATAAGGTATGTCAGTCAGTGGTATTTTTTATTATTAGTTCTGTCATACACCAAAATGGTGACTGGCCTTCTCCTTTAAAATAGTTAGGATAAGCCCAAAAGTTAAAAACTTTTTAACAATGAACTATCTCAATGGCATGTGGTAATGACTCTAGCTGTAGCTGTATGTTGGTGTTATTTAATACTTGCACCTGAATTTTTAAATGAGGATTTCTAATCTAAATGTTATTTAGAAAAATGCTAAGACATTTTTGTCTGGCAGAACGAGTCCTGGGATTTTTTCCTGAAAAATTAATTTTGGATTTCCTGTAGTAGCTATCTTCAAGTGGTCCCTCTAAAGAACTCCTGAATGCACAATAACCTGAACAATTTTTTCAGTGAATTGGTGTCTTGGTCTTGCTTTCCAGTGCAGTCATTACTAAATACAAGAAGTAATACACATGCTGAAATGGATATTAATGAAGTATGAGAATCCAATTCTTGCTAGCAATAACTTCACCTTTTTGGCAATGTCAAGATCTGCAAGTTGGTCCAAATAAATTTCATACCTTCTTAAATTGTTTTATATCCATAGCAGAAGACAATTTAAAGTGACATTTTGAAAATTAAAACCTCTGGCAACAATTTTAACCTCTCATTACGTGTTGCAGTTCACAGACCTCCTGTACAATCACTCAGTGGTGTCTGTAGTTCAAGCCTCCTGGATTCAAGAAATAGAGTATAAGAATTTAGTGTGGCATTGCTC